CAAATACACAGAAAACAGAAAAGCGGTAACTTTCAGTTCTTGGCCTCTAACAAATCTAAGTATCAGTAGTCACAGCGGCATATTAGAACGTGATAAACTGCATATTTGAGGGCGGGTCACATATTGAGCCAGTGAAGAGCTCCTGTGATTAGATTAGATCAAACATCATAGCAGAACATAAGCAAATTGAAGCTGAATTCTGTAATGAATATACACATTGCAGTAACATCAGAAAAGCATGGCAGCCCATTCCAAACCAGCAAGAACAGTTTGTGCAAATAGTGGGTCTTTGTGTGTTTGAACTCCCACCATGTCAGGGCAAACTCAATGTGCATGCTAATGACCTACAATTACCAAATGAAAAAGGAAGAAAAATGCTAAAGGGTGCCAGAGAGGACAGCAGGGAAAGCCACACAAAGACCCACTATCCTTTAACTGGGTACAATCAATGTTAACTGTGAATTCGAAACACAAAGAAATAATCACAAGTGGCTCTAACATTCAGCGAAGGAAATGGATTGTGTAGGAGATATCTGACCAGGGCTGCCTGCCCTGCCTCCACGCTACAGTCAAACTTGGATAGTGGGTCTCTGGGGTGCTTTCACCACTGGAAGACAACATTGGGTCCTAAAAAAAGAAAAATGAGGAATAAAATGAACATAACGCAAATTAGGTGAGTGAGAAAAACTTTGACTAATAATTACATGCAACATTGACTAAACAAATTTGAATTATTAAAATTTTCAACTTTTAAAAAAATGTTCTAATTCCATAGTAAAATGAAAATAATACTTACAGGGGCCAAAAGAAAACCCAAAAATACCCTGGTGGAAATCTACAATTTAGCCAGGTTTCACTAACTCATATGAAAATTATAAACAGGTGATTCATTTCTAAAACTCTCAATAGATATAAAGAGGTCTCTAATCAATTTCTGACTTTAAGATTAAGCATCTTGTGAACTACATCTTAATAAAGTATAGGCTTATGTAGAGTTAATTGTGAGTAAATTTCATAGCTACGAATACAATGAACTCTATTCTTTATCTTCTCTGAAAAACTAATTATTACTCAATTTCTTTTTTAAAAAAAGCATTATTTAACTTTATTATTATTACTTTTAATATTTCCAGAGAGAGACACAGAGAGAGGGAAAATGAGAAAGCAAGCCTCCAGGTCCAGGACTTGAACCAGTTGGTCATGTGGGAGTCCAGCACCCTTCGCCACACCACCTGCAGGCCCCTCATTACTCTTCAATTTCTGGTCATTCTTTTATTTATTTATTTTTGCTATAAGGGACAAGTGCCTACCAGAGAAAGACAGAGCTTGAAAAGGAAAGCGAGCAATCAACTCCTCTCCCTCTCCCCGACCCCCAGGGTGTGTGTGTGTGTGTGTGTCCACACTGTAATCCCTTCTTTTCACTAACCCCTTCTCACTTCCTCTCAGGATTTTAAGCAAGCATGCACATGTACCTGGCATGTTTCTCAGGCCACCAGGACCAGGACTTGAACTGCACAGTGTCTCATAATTATTTTAAGTAAATAAAATAAATACTCCTAACTCTTTCAGGTGATTTAAAGACTTGTTTTATAGGAATAATAAACTTCATCAGAGAACTCTATTTGGGAATTTTCCCCAGAATTACAGAATTGAGAGCCCTTTTCTTCCAGATGGATGGGCTTTCATTTAGATTAAACAATAAAGTATACAGGTTTTTAGATATGATCAAACTAAAAAAAAAAAAAAAATCCACATATATCAGCAAAAAAAGCTGTGAATAAGTTAGTTATTGATAATACTTTTATAAGAAAGAGAACTCTGAATCTACTCCTGTGTTGAAACAACCCCTTGAAATTCTATTTTCTCAGCTCTCAACATGTACAATAACCAAGAATATAATACCACCCCTCTCCCCAATGTTTGCCCTTCTAGCAAAATATCACTGTTTATCCTTCCTGTCCCCGCCCAGTGCCCTCCGCGGAGGGCTCCCTACACACGTGTTCCATTCCCACAGATTCAGGGGCCTTTCCCGGCACGTATTTATATATTCATTACAGCAATATTGGTGTCCCCAACACCTAAGTACATGGTACACACTCAGAGAGTATCTACCAAATGAATGGGTTTCATGACTGAAAAGTAGGAAGAATGTTAGCATCATAAAAAATAAAATCTGAGGCAAATGGGAATTCCGAAATCATCTGTGTAGGTCAATAATCACCCTGAGGGATAACTCTTCCTTTCCTTCCTTTTCTTCATGTCAGTACTGCCATTTCCTTGTTTTATGTCGGGGAGGCTAGGAATTGGTTGTTTTTTAGAGTGGCACAGTACAAGACAATAGCCCTGAGCCATAAGTGGCTATTAGCTTTAAATTAATTAAAACTCTATTAAATGAAAAACTCTGTTTCTGTCACATCAGGCACACTCCAGAAATTCAAAAGCTTCATGTGGTAGTGGCCGCAGTATGGGACAGCACCACCTACAGACTTTCTCACCGCAAAAGTTCCATGGGATGGTGCTGTTTAGACTGGGTACCTTCTCTACAGGCAGTCTGAGGCTGTCACTTCTACCCACATTCAAATGGCAGATGAAGCAGTCTCTGGCCAATAGGAACTTCCAGGGCAAAGGTGTCCTTGGATAATTAATTCGTGTTAATCCAGCTTTTGTAATTTAAGTATCAAACACTTATTGACAACCTACTACCTTGTTTAGTTGAAGAATAAGAAGTTGTCACTCAACTAACTTTCTGGGCAAGCTACTTTCCTGGGAGGTTATTTATGTCTTGAAGTAGGTTTCTCTAGGACACAGATTTTTAAATGATCTTCCAGAAGGGAACCTGAAAGGACTGTTATAGAAGATAGGAAAAGGAAGGGCGGGCCTGGGGCATGGTCCTTTCCTTTCTAAGGCTTTTATCCGTTCTTTATAGTCCTTATTACATGAGCCCTAATTGGGAAAAAAGTGTTCCACCACTGAGTAACAAGACCCAAGGCAACACACTGGAAAACCTTAGTTTTACATCATAGACGGTTTAAAAGCCAAATGTACTAACACACTGCAGTGCCTTCAGAGATCATTAGCTGAGGATCTTCCAGATCTAGTAGGCCTGAAAAACACTTGTTCTTAGTGCCAAGAAAGGTGCCATGGTATTTCTAATTAATCTAATAACAACTGATTTCTAATTCATCACACTGCCAATCCATCAGCAGGGCTTGAAAAATAGTCATTCATAGTCAAACAAAAGTGTTCTAATTTTCTTTACTACTTCTGAAACCCTGAGACATTTTGGGGGATAGTCAAACCAGTAAAAACTGAACTCTTCCCTTGGGGCCAGCAGTGGAATGATGGTTAAAGCAACTGACTTCCACATGGCCAACCGTGGTTCAAGTCCCAGACCTGCTGACTTGCTTTCTCACTTCCCCTCTCTTCTTTCTCTCTGTCCTTCTCTGGTGAACACATGTGTCCTATAGCAAATTAAAATAATAAAAAATAAATAAAATTAAAAAGAAAAAAAAAAAAAAGAAAAACCCAAACCTGAACCCTTCTCAACTAGAGAAGTTTAGTCAGTTGCTGCATCTAAAGGGAGGTCTACCAAAATCAGAATTATCTTTACAAGCTCTAAAGTGAAAATAACACACACAATTATAGATATATTTAAAAAGCTGCAATCCTTACACTGAATCATAAGGGTATCTCAGTTTTGAATGAGTTATCATTTATATGATCTTGGCAACTAAATGAAAATAACCTGTTTAAACTTAATCTTTTAAATAAATAAACCTAAATAATATTGAAAATAATTTTAGAATGATAAAGTACAATTCATTATCTAGTTTGTAAACAAAACTCAAAATCAAAAGGGTAAGGAAAGGTAACATCATTCTCCCCAGTTATCTTCAAGAACTGTTTACTCTCTATTATTAATGCTGTGTTTACTGTCAACTATAAAAAAGGCTAAATAACTACTAAGAGATAATACTAAATTTTACATTTTTGAGATCTGCACTCTTTTTTTTTTTTTTTGGAGAGATTTTCACTGTAGGGCGC